TAATCGGAACATAAGTTTTTTTCCCTGTTGAAATATGTTAAAATGTGTTGAAATAGCAAACCAGCATGTTTATGTATGAAAACCTAACATGTTTGTTTATTGTTCTTAAGTAGCCAATCAATAGCTCAGTTTTCTTCCCACCACTAGGAAGCTGAAATGTTTTTTTCTCTCTGAGATAGTTTTAAAGTCAGTCAGCTTGCTTATCTGTTAGTACCAGTTTAACAGACATTACATACAGCTCTCAGCTCAGTCTTTATTTTAACAGACTAAATGATTATTCTTTTTAATACTAACAATCCCATGTCTTCATGTCAAGTTTTTGAACATGTAATTTTCAAAGTAAACATTGTTTCTTCTTTTTACTGTTGTCTGACTGGATAGTTTTGCTGTCCTGCTTGGATAAGGGAAATTCTTGGAGAACTTGCTTATAATTCTGAGCCATATATAAAATTGCCCCAGTTTTTGCTGTGCAACTACACAAAACTGTGTGGAATGTTACTGTCACTGGGTCATTATGTTCACTCATCCTAAAACCAGTGGTAGAATTTAATCCTTGTGGTGGAATATGTGTATGAAAACCTAACATGTTTGTTTATTGTTCTTAAGTAGCCAATCAATAGCTCAGTTTTCTTCCCACCACTAGGAAGCTGAAATGTTTTTTTCTCTCTGAGATAGTTTTAAAGTCAGTCAGCTTGCTTATCTGTTAGTACCAGTTTAACAGACATTACATACAGCTCTCAGCTCAGTCTTTATTTTAACAGACTAAATGATTATTCTTTTTAATACTAACAATCCCATGTCTTCATGTCAAGTTTTTGAACATGTAATTTTCAAAGTAAACATTGTTTCTTCTTTTAACTGTTGTCTGACTGAATAGTTTTGCTGTCCTGCTTAGATAAGGGAAATTCTTGGAGAACTTGCTCTGAGCCATATATAAAATTGCCCCAGTTTTTGCTGTGCAACTACACAAAACTGTGTGGAATGTTACTGTCACTGGGTCATTATGTTCACTCATCCTAAAACCAGTGGTAGAATTTAATCCTTGTGGTGGAATATGAGTATTAAAGAAACACACCCTTTCATGGGGAAACAACATGTTGGGGTACCTGTGATAGTTAATGTAGTGCAACACAATACAGAGTGATAATCCTGTGGGTGGAACAAGGGCCCAGTCAGGCCTGTTTCTGTGAATCTTGCTCTGCTTTGTGGAGAAGCAGCAGGGCTGAAAAGGGTGAATACAGAAATCAAAGTGACAAGCAGCAGAAAAGTTAATGAGTATGAAGGGAAAGGGGTGAGGATACTGAGTGGTGGGGGGGAGTGAAAATGGATATAGAGGTATGGAAAATTTGATGCTGATGACCTGTTGTGATCCAAGCTTCTCTATGGTTATTGATGCAGCATCGTTTATGGCCAGAGCAAGATTTTCAGCTACTATACTAACATATGAACTGCTGGGTTGCTCAGTGGTTTAGGTGTCCGGCTGTGGAGTCAGAGGCTGGGTGTTCGATTCCCCACCGTGCCTTCTTGACGGGGATTGGACACAGTGATTCATAGGGTCTCTTCCAGGTCTGCAGATCTTGGATGATAATGATGATGATTTGAATTAGATGACACCCAGCACTGTTGGATGGCTACAGTTGGCCCAAAAGGTTTTGCTGCTATAGACAAAAGATAAGATGACCCCCACCCACCTCCCATTTCATACAGAAAAGCTGTGAGACCAGCAGTTGAATCTTTCTTAAGCACTAGCAGTGGGATATTGTCCTCCACTGTATCTGAGAAGAGTAGCGTAGGGTGTTCTTTTGTACGTTTATCTTTTTTTGTATTTTTATGCTCACTGTTATTGCTTTAAATACTGTATTTTAATGATGTAAGCTGCCTTGAGCTCCTTTTAAGAAGAAAAGTGGGGTAAAAAAATTAAATAAATAAATACAAGGGAGGCCATATGGCACATACCTCTTGTTTAAATCTTGACTTAGTGTCTATTTGCTTGTCCAAACAAATGCTGCAGTGCAGCAGTAGTTGTGTGTATATCACAAAGAGCTGTACGTATAGAGATGTCTGCTGCAGTACATCAGTTGGACTGACTTGCTCATTCGTGCTCTGCTCACTTAATACGGGGCCTTTCCCACAAGTGCTCTCCGTGATATGTTGGGAGAAGATTACTACCTAGGGCAGCGTCAAACAGATAATGTTGCTTTTGATATACTGTTCAAGGCTCATGAGAAACAGCAAGAGAAAGGTAAGAGGAAAGGCCAGGAGATCTGTTGTTGCTGCCTCTGAAGCAATCGGCTCACCTTTTATTTGATAGGAAGCACATATGAAGAAGCAAAAGGAAAAAGGCGAAACTGTTGACAAGAGATGGCACTATTTCCTTTTGTGCTGAAAATTCCTATTTACATTCACTTTTGAGGGGAACCACCTGCCAGGGGACCCCATGGGGTCACGAAGAATCAGACACGACTAAAAGACTGAACAACACCTGCCAGTAGTTTAGAACAAGACCACAGGAGAAGGTTAACCAACCAAACAAACAAACAAACAAACAAGGCTATGATGTCCTGGGTAATGTGTGGTGTGATTAGAGACATGTCAATTTGTTATGACTGGTAGTAGTTCCTCTAAGGGAAATCCATCCCTATTGGCTAAACTTTCTCATGTGATTTTTCTGCAAGCAACCACCACAACAAAGTTATTTGGGTTTTTAGATTATGGATCATCACAGAGTGGAGAAAGTGGCAAGGAAAATTAAGAAGCTGCTTGGAAACAGGAGGATTGCAATTAGATCTTGGAAAAAATGGTTTCTTAGGCTACAAATCCAGACCTCTGCCAGTCAACATGGCCTTGTGGCCCATGCTGACCAGGGGAATCTGGGAGTTATAGTCCAGACAAGTAACTTTTCTAAGCACTGATCTTAAGGAAATAGTTAATACTGAATTGAGACCAGTGGAGGGCAGCATGGCATCAAATTATTCTGATTTATCCAAGAAAAGCTCTTAAACCTTCAACAATAAATAGCATTCTGTAGCAAGACATGTGATGTGCATATTAACAACCAGTTTTCTCATAATAGTCACTTCTTTGTAGTTTGAAGGGAAGTTTTGTGGCTCTTTTTGTACCACAGCCAGCAGACACATCCAGTCAACCTCCATGCAGATGAGGGATTCCCTCCAATTGCTATTCGCAGTTCCTCCTAAATGACAAACGCAATCCATTTATACATGAATATAAGAATTTTTAAGAAACCATCTGAAGTCAAAGTTTCCTCCAGAGGTCAAGAAAATGTCCAAACCAATATAATTATTTAAGCCATCCAGGATGTGACACAACCTTAACAAAGTCATTTTGAAATCATTTGACAGTAAATTTCCCTGTTCCTAGCCTAGAGCAGAGGAGAATCCTTTGCTTTCTAACTGTCTTCTTTTAGACAATCCTGATTTTTAAAAATGTTGCATACAAGCTGGGTCTTGATGCAGCCTGATGTGCACCCAAAGGCAATGTCAATGCCCCCTGCAGCCAATAAAAAGACTGTCGTCAAGAATTTGACATTGAATGCATCATGTCATGTGGATAGATAGTAACTCAAAGGAGTGAGAGCTGCCATTTACAGGACTAGTGACAAGAACTGTACAGATCTGTGGGTTTAGAGATTGCTTCAATATGACTGGTAACCAGCAATTTAGCTTACATTGTTTCTGACAGTGTGTCACTCTGTCACTATCTGAATGAATGATAAGAGTTTTCAAAGCAAGTACTGTAGTTCCTTCATTTTGAAAAATAGTTTCTTTTTAAGCTATGGGGTCAAATTGGAGTCTGAAAAATCCACTGTTATTTTATTTTGTCTGTAGAGGAAATAATTCTAGTGGCAATATGAAAAGAAGAAAAATGCCACTTTGGCTTCTCACCAAACATGTTCCACTGAAGTCTAAAGTCTTGTCCAGATTAACCCAATAAGAAAACCTGCGAGAATCAGTTTGTTAAAGTGTGATTGAGATAAACAGCTTCCGTTTAAAAGCAATACCTAACCACCGTTTTCCAGTTTTGGTGGAATTGTAAACTTTGGTTTAACAAAACCTATTTGCATTGCAATATGCAAATAAAGAAAGAAGGGAAGAGCAACCAGTATAAAAAATGCTTATTCTTGGTCAAATTAACTGTGGTTTATTGGTCTGAGATTGCTGTCTTTGAACCAGATCAAGCTTTTTCTTAGTATTCTGGCTAGGCGTTAACAGATGCATTGATTAGGGCATGTCATGCTACTCACCAAGTTAACAACATTTTCAATAATTTCAGCATGTTATTTCTTTACCTAAATATTTATACCCCCCTCTTCTCCTCAAAAAGGCTCAAGATGCCATGAAAACCAAGAATGTAAAGCTCTCTTGAGCCCATAGAGCAAGTGGTACAGGCATGGGACCTGTCATAATTAAGCAAGACGATGCAAAGTACAAAATAGTCACAAACCTGTTTGTTACTTTGGCAACAGATTATGTAATCAAAGTGAGGATGCAGTCAATTAGAGTTCTTTGACCAGTGTACCAGTATGATGCATCGATTTTTCACATTTTGCATTTTAGGTGTGTAAGTGCGACAATGTCCTCTGGGTGTACTGTTAATACTGTTCAGATTATTCTTGCAGCTTGTTCCTAGGTTTTGACTCCCATTTTCCACTTGTGTGTCTCCATCTAAGTGGCTGCTCTGCATACAAGATAATTCCAAGTGCTATTTGCTAATCAAGAAGATACATGGCATCTTGCGTCCTAAGGAAATGAATGTTGTGATCCAGCATTCTGTCTTCTGTTGAGCAGAAAGATATTCTATCATATTGTGGAATACATCATGACATTTCAGGACTGGATAAGATCCCGAACTATTACAGAGAGATTTTGTGTATTAGCATTTTAATGAACATAAAATGTGAATGCATGCATATTTGTTAAGTAGGAACACTTATCCCCCATCATCACTTGATGCTATTTAAGCTTTATTGTCTTCTGCAGGTTAGCCAATACACATTTGCTATGTGCAGCTACCGAGAGAAAAAAGCTGAACCTCAAGAGCTGTTGCAGCTTGATGGATACACTGTTGACTACACGGACCCACAACCAGGTAGGCAAGATGCAGTCGTTGACTTACATTTTTTTATAATTGTCCCTATTTGATTCTGGGTCGCTATGAAATTAATAACAACTTCCTGATTTTTCAATGTGCATGTGTATGTATGTATGCGTATACATGCATATATTGCTTGTATTGGATATTAGATATTTGTTATATTGTCCTGTATTATGTATTATATATTTTATATTGTATAATTCATCGGAATACTTGAGTACCAGAATAAAAAGTACCAGAAGTCTTGGTATGTATAGATTGGAGTTCATGAGCAAGCTATTAATATTGGGGAGGAAAACCTGAGGAGGACTTTTGTGTTACCACATGCAATAGCTTGTATCTCTTAAGAGAGGCCCACATCCTGCTTTAAAAATCATGGTGAGCTGTCTTTCTTTGTGAAATGTACAGTATGTACCTCTGTAAGACTCAGATAAAGAGTTAACTAAAGATTCTATTATACATTTCAAGAATAGTGATGACTAGAGGTGTATATACATGGTGAAAACTTGGGTTTTCATTTCGGTTTATTTCAGAGGGTGCCTCTGTTGTTTTCACTGTTTTTTTAAACTAAACGTTACATTTGATATGAAAGGGATTGACTCTTTCAGGTCATTTTCTTTTTGTTTTTACTATTCATTTCTTTGTGTCTGGTGTTAATGGCTCAAAAACCTTAAAGAAACCCCACCACCACCACCACCAAGAAGGAGCCAGGCAACCAAACACCACTAACCCAAAACACCACCAATCCAAGCACCCTCAAACCAAAGTGACACAAAGATGGGGTGATTCTTTCTCCTTTTAAAGGTTCTTCTCTTTTTTTTTTCTTTAAGTTAAGCTGATTTGCATAACCCCAGTGTGCACTGGTAGGAAACTGAGCAGAAATTGGAGAGGGGAAGTTCTCCATATCAGATCCTCCAGAGACTGAAACAACTAGGCTGCAAGCATCTCCCCACTTCCCGGTGCCAGAGTGGTGAGGAAGGAGAGAGTCAGTTAGTATCACACAGTTTCTGTGCTGAATCCGTGTCTGGACCTGACAATGGACTAGATGAGGGTTAATAAATTGAAACTCAAGCCAGACACGACGGAAGTGCTGTTAGCGGGTGCTTTGCCGGAAAGACTGGAGGGCCATTTCCCTACCCTGAATGGGGTTTTAGTCCCCCTAAGGGACATGGTCCACAATTTGAGGGTGCTCCTGGACCCCGGTCTAACTCTGGAAGCCCAGGTAGACTCGGTGGCCAGAGGCGCCTTCCTTCAGCTGTGGAAATTATACCAGCTACAGCCCTACCTGGATGAGCAGTCTCATGGCAGTTACGCATGCACTGGTAACATCCCGTATAGATTACTGCAATGTGCTGTGCGTGGGGTTGCCTTTGAAGATGGTCCGGCTACTCCAACTGGTTCAAAATCGAGCTGTGCAGCTGGTGAGTGGTGGGGCCACTAGGGAACACATCAGGCCGATTCTGTTCAAATTACATTGACTGCCAGATTTTTAATTGAACTAATATAAACTGTGGGTCTTGATGGCAACTTTAGAGTACTATATTTTAATTGTATTTTAATTGTTTTATCTTTTTATTGTATTTAAATTGTTGTAAGCCGTCCAGAGACTTTTAGGTAGTGTGGGCGGCATATAAGTTAAATAAATAAATAAATAAATAAATAAATAAATAAATAAATAATCAGTCAGTCAGTCACCCACCTGCCTTTATCCCAACCCCATGCAGCTGGAGGGCCATGTGAGAGTAACAGACCATGCTTCCTGCCCCACCTCCTCAAAAACTGGCTGCCAGTAACTGACTGAGCCAAAGCACTCCCACTGGGTTCTAGCCAATCCAGGGCCCTTTACAGTTTCAGAGTTCCTCCTCTCCCCACCCCGAGCATTCTGATTGGCTGTTGACATCAGCCCTCATGATGCTATAGCATGAAACATTTCCTGTGCAGTTTAACAGTCAAGGGGTGAAAGAAAGCTTAAATGAATAAGGGAGCATACACAAAAAATGAAATTTTCACTAAAACTAATAATTTTGAAGATGCTCTTTTTTGAAATCAGCAAAGGAACCATTTAAAAAGAACAAATAAAAACAACTTTTCTGTGTATGTTCCTTTCATTTTTTAATGAAACACCCATGCTTGAAGTAACAGCTGTAATATTTTTTTTACCGTACTAGCTTCCATATTTTCTGTGCCACACCCCTTTCTTGTTTCCTATTGTTACAATTGCAATTTATGTTGTAATTTGTCTTAAGTCACAAGGAAAAGAGGCTGGTTATAAATGTTTTCAAACAAATACAAATAGGGAAACAGTCACTGTGAAATTCCTTTTGAAGAAAGCCCCATTGTGCCCCTGTCTTATTTAAACAACAGTCAGCCAGCTGCCATCTTGACATTTTTAAGCAAGGATATGGAAATATGTAGTAGTCTCTCCTTTCCTGGTTTTCTGAGTGAAATAAAATGTCTGGATCTCAGCCAAATTATTATTTTTTAATGTATTCTTGAAGGCTTTCATGGCCGGGATTCAATGGTTGTTGTAGGTTTTGCGGGCTGTTTGGCCGTGTTCTGGAGGTTTTTCTTCCTAATGTTTCACCAGTCTCTGTGGCCATGGGCATCTTCAGAGGATAGGAATCAGAACCACAGAGACTGGTGAAACATTAGGAAGAAAAACCTCCATCACACGGCCAAACAGCCTGAAAAACCTACAACAACCACATTATTTTTAGCTGAATATGTGATGGTCTGAACCTAGTACATACTGTACAGAAAGGTTTCAGTGTCCCACTTTTTGGACTACTGTTTGTTTTAACCCTGTCTGTGTTTGATTGTAACCCATCCAGAGTGGATTTCTCCAGATGAGTGATAGAAACATCAAATAAATAAGTAAATAAATAAATCACCAGATGAGTGATATAAACATCAAATAAATAAGTAAATAAATAAATAAAATATATCTACCAGAGTTACTTAATCAACACATCCAGTGCCATGCCAGCTTGCAGGTTATGGTTTTTTATATTCCAGAAGTAACTTTTTCCAGGTCAATTCCTCCTTATTAATTTCCAAGAGTATTCATGCCTGTGTGTGAGTGAATTAATCTCTAATTACTGGTTTGGAGCCAATATTACCCACCGCCACCACCAAACGTATCTTACAAAAGTTAGCTTTGGGCAGCTTTTAACACTGTGCTATACCCATTCTTAACACGTCTTTTCTCAGTCCCAACAACTCTCCTGTCAGGTCTCTCGGATATCCATGCATTCTAGATATTTGTCCAAGTAATGGAGAGAGGAGAATTTCTGACTAGCACCTTATGTAAGTGACCATACTGAACAAAAGCAGCATGTAGAAACCTATCTGTCAACAAAGAACCAGAATATGTGCTCTTCATATTCTATAGAATACCCAAATAGAACCGTTTGGAAGAGACACCTGTTCTATCCTAAGTCTTCACAATGAAAGTGTGAAGATTTAAAATAATGAATATTACATATGGTTAGTACAGAATTAGACTTTATCCTCCCTGCATGGACGGAAACTGTAATATATTACATATATGATAATTTTGTGCTTAATTTTAATTTTTTTAAAAAAATTAAGCACACTTTCTTACCTGTACTGATATTGAAAGTGCAGAGATTTCTGGCACCCCAACTTTATTCTATTTTATGGCAGTGGTTCCCAACCTTAGATCCTCAGATGTTCTTGGACTAAAAGCTTCCAGAAGCTTTTGCCATTAGGTGTGCTGATCAGTATTTCTGGCAGTTGTAGTCCAAGAACATCTGAGGACCCAAGTTTGGCGACCCCTATTCTATGGCAAAGATGAATGTTTGCCTAAGGGGAGAAGTAAAATGCCCCACCCATTGACAGTCCTTTAAAGCACATTGTAGTGTGTCATGAAGAGTGTGCTAGGGGGTTTTCAGCAAGCACCAAGAAGTTACAGTAGAATAGAGGAGATAGGAAATCCTTATAGGGCAGTGGTCCCCAACCTTGGGTCTCCAGATGTTCTTGGACTTCAACTCCCAGAAATCCTGGCCAGCAGAGGTGGTGGTGAAGGCTTCTGGGAGCTGTAGTTCAAGAACATCTGGAGGCCCAAGTTTGGGGACCACTGTTATAGAGCATGCAGAATTCCATCCTTTGGTCTTCTTCAGAACAGCGACCACTAATGCTACATAACAATCACATCTCTCTGTGCTGCCTTCTTATTACTGGTTTCTGATTTCCTTCAGGTTTGGAAGGTGGCAGAGCATTCTTCAATGCAGTGAAAGAAGGTGACACAGTGATTTTTGCGAGTGATGATGAACAAGACCGCATCCTGTGGGTCCAAGCCATGTACCGAGCTACCGGCCAGTCCCACAAACCTGTCCCACCCACTCAAGTTCAGAAGCTTAATGCGAAAGGAGGGAACGTGCCCCAGCTCGATGCCCCAATCTCACAATTTTGTAAGTACAACATGTTATTAATGAAGCAGAAGTTTTTCCTTGAAAACGTTGTTTGTGCATAGATGTTTATGACGAATAAGAGGAAAATACCCAAGCTTTTTCAGAATATATTTTTCATGGTTTATGTTTACGTCTGAAGAATCTCAATGAAATGTGCAGTGAACGGAGAAAAAGATCCTATTGGCAAACTTTCAGTATAAAGTCTAAAATGCAATACTTGATTAAAATCATATTTCAAGGGAGATGTTTCGGGGGGGGTTCCCATAGTAGCTCTTTACATAATTATATACATATACAGACAGTTCTGCCCCCTTTTAGTCCCTCCTCCCTTCTTCCCCTTTTTCTGTGAGAAATCATATTCTGTCCCATATGTAACTTCCTATCATGAACTACGGTGAAGAGCTAAGCACCAATATTTAGATGCTGCTCTGTTGGTCTATCGCACCAGAGGCCAATGACCTACTCTGAGAGATGAGGAAAGGAGGAAGAGTATTCCATGCAGCCATCATCTGGATATTTTAGATTAGAATGAGCAAAGGCCTATAAAATGTGTAGGTACATCTTCCACAACTTCAAAATCTTCTGCATCAATAATGAAAAACTAAATGTAAGTCTTAGCTTCAGTTGGGTAGACCTAAAACACTCCTATGCATTGACATAACAAATCTCATTTATTCAATGGATCTACTCTAGGTGGGACTAACAATCTGATTTAGCCCAAATATTTAAATGTTTATATATTGGATTATTCTTCATCCTAGATAATTTAGGTTCAAGTTCGAGAAATTCATGTGTCCCCAGAAGAAATGTTGCATAGAAGAATTTTTTACTGTTACATAGGTCTCATTTCGGCATCCCGATGAGGAAGTTTTTTTTCTAAATTCTGTACTTTCTCTCTCCTTACCCTGGGTACCAAATTGTAGTATAGGTGAACAGAATTCCTATGGACTGTAGAAGTGCAAGGTAGGGAGGAAGGAAAGCACTTTAGCCAGTTTCTTATGTTGAAACATAACATTCCATAAACATGTGCTGTAGCATAACAAGCAGGTGCTCTAACACTTTAACCCATATATGTTCTTATTCTGCAATACCATGATCATCAGCTAAGTGAAGGTTCTGATTTTAGTAGTAATAATCAAAATAATACAGAAAACTGTCCATATGTGGTCTTAACGTTCAGAAGGAGTGGATTTGGAAAGATGAATGTTCTAATCCTACCTGATCCTCTCAAAATATTCTCATATTGTGAAATGACTGGATGTCTCAGGAATCAAAGTTCAATGGTATAATTTTGCCCATTTCGGTGAAAGATTTTGCAAAATCAATATGGCTGTTCTACTACAGCCTTCAGTATTTCCAGTCTTTTAAATATCTTTTATGAGCACACTTCCAACATTTTTCCAGATGGTCAGAAATTGAATATACAGGTCTTTAACAAGAAATAATATCTATTTATTAGATATTAGCATAGGAGAGCACAGAGTGCTACTCCTGTCCTCTGAAGATGCCGGCCACAACCTTCAGAACATGGCCAAAGAGCCCAAAAAACCCACAACCACCAAATAATATCTACTTTCTCATTTGCCACAGAGCATATTTTGTGTGAATTTAAAACTTTTGAAAACGGTTACGTTTATTATTTTTTTTCCACATGCTTGCATAACTTGGACTCTTACTCTATCTTTGTAATTGCCCAAGAAAGCTTGGCTTTCATTTCAGTACGAATGAAAACATGGCATGATGCAGGTTGGATAAAGGATATTCATTTCATATTTTCATTGCCTGTATACATCACACAAGAAAAACTTTCATTGATTTAAGTGGTAGTTTGACTGATTCAGTGACTGAAATGCTGCAACATTGGGCCTTATAATGGCATGTGCATCCTGTTCCCACCCCGTTTAGGTGCATAACGAATATTTTAGTAGTGGCCCATTTTCATGAGATATATGGCACATAGGTAAGGTAAGTAGAAGCAGCAGTATATTTTCCTGAATTGCTTGCACAAGGATGCCATGGAGCAGTCTGATGGGCTTTCCTAACTGTGTGAATAACTGGCTGGTCCCAATGTGAAATTTATTTCTTTTATAGAGCCCTATATTTTCCCCCCAGTGCTCTGTCTTTATCTAGTGAGGTGGCCCACAATGCACTTTCAGGAATCTGAACTTTCAATTTTTCTCCTCATTCCTTATAATGAAGCCAAACTGTGAAATACAGAAATTTGTTCATACTTGTGTCCGTGATCAAAATCTGGAACTCTATAATTATTCCTACCTGTTTCTTCTCCTCCTTATGCTCTTTATGATCCCTTTCCACTGAGACTGTCTCAGGGAGCATCAGTTCCCCTAATCCAAGAAAATCCTATGTACTTGTTGGTGGGATAGGATAGAATTCCCAATATTCCTACAAAAAGGAGCATCAATTCCCCTAATCTAAGAAAATCCTATGCACAGTACTTGTTGGTGGGTTAGGATAGAATTCCCAATATTCCTACAAAATGAGACTTGTGTCAATCTGAGCTAGCTACTACACCAGATTGCTCCATTGCTTTGGGGTGAACCAAGCTTATCACAGAATGTGGCTTCACCTCTTCCTCACCTGCTCCATTTCACCCCTTCATTTAGTCCTGCATTGCTAACTTCCTGTTGAGCAAACTTTTAGGAAAATTTCCAAAGAAAGGCAGAAGCATGTCAGGGGGCTCATGCACACATTATGTGTTACATCTTAGTGGGTGAACCATGTGTTCTCCTGCCTTGAATAGAATAGTGTGCCCTCTGATCTCAGTCCCTCCATTCTACCAGAATCTGAGCAGCAAAGTTCTATTTGCAACATGCCTTTTCATGTAAATGAGCCATTGTTAGTACAGTGGGGTCTTGACTTGAGAACTTAATCCGTATTGGAAGGTGGTTCTCAAGTCAAAAAGTCTGTAAGTCAAGGCTCCATCGACCTACAGTGCATTGAAAACCGATTAATCCCGTAACAGGCCGTTTTTGTTCCATTTTGTTTTTTTTCTGGTCTGCAAGTCAATTCTCAGGCTGCAAGTCAAACCTAATTTTGCAGCCAGAGAAGTCTGTAACTCAAAAAGTCTGTAAGTCAAGCCGTCCATAAGTCAAGGGTCCACTGTAGCTGATAGAAGAAATAATGTTCTGCTTTGTGAGACATGGCTTTCTTCCTATCGCATCCAGGCTTTACCTACCTTTCTGGAGGAGAGAAAGAAAGTGGGAAGAAAGGTGGAAACAGAATTGGTCTCCTCCATTTCCTCACATTTGCCATCTGCCATGATAGTAAACAGGACATTGAAAATGGAACTCTGTTCCAGAAGCCTATCTTTCAAGCCGCATGCTTTGATTTAAAGACTAGTGAATTGGAGGTAGACCTCTTCAGCATTCATATGTCCTCTAGTTCTGAGTTGCCTCATAGTATGGTAGAAGACCACAGCAGAATGTGGTTAGAATAGAAGAGTATGGAAGTTTTAAGAACTGACCAAGAGCAAATTATTTGTATTTAATGTGTATGATTGTAGGTAGCTTTAAGAAGCTACAAACTTGCCACTAGAGGATGCTGCAAGTAATCTAAAATCTTGGAAGTGAAAAATCACTAAGAGGCAAAAGTGAAAAAGTTTTCAGTATTTTTTCTGCAAAAATGCAGTTGCCCAAGAATTATCTAAGGGTAAGTCCTGAAAAAGCATAATATGTGCATAGGCCTTTAGTTTCAACTCATGCATCTCTGCTACTTTTTGTGTTCACCAATATACCAGCGAGCTTGGGCTGTGAGGGGTCATGCTTTGTGAATGCCTGCATACTTGCATTTGTTCCTCTTATGTCAGAAACCAAGCATTTTAAAATATATCCATGGGAAGAAAATACTTGCAGATAGAGATATGACCAGCAGGTGTGAGTCCTTTTTATGCAGACATGATGATGACTGTCACTTATTAAAAGTCAATAAAATTAATTGCTCAGTTCCCATATAAATCAAGTATTGCATTTTAAAGTGTTTTTTTATTTATCTTTCATGTTCATCTGCAAAAGGTAAGGACTGCTGTCAGAAAAGCTTTTATTCTTGTGCATTTTGCTCGCATATTCTTTTGTTTACTTTTCCTTGTTCACAGTAGGCTATAGTTCTTGATACATGAAAGACTGGAAAGGAATTACACATTAGAAGAACTTTTTTGTTCTTCTGAATTTTCATAGATGACATGCATTGCCTAACGATGGCAGAACTGCTATGTGTTAGCAACCAGGGAAGGAGAGAAAAGCACACTGTATCTTATGATAAAGCTGTCTGTAAAAGAGAAACTTAAGAACAGCACATTTTATAGTTAGGAAACTTGGAAATGATACTGAATTCATTTGTTTCCCACCTAATTTGTCTTAGTAAATGTAAACTTTATGGAACTCCTGACTTTCCATTTGATACTTGGTTTCCAACTTTGAATGAAACACATAGCTTTTATTTTTATTTTTAACAAATGAGTGTATTAATACATTAATACAATACAGAAAACAATAGATCCTGCTATTCACGATATTAGTTAAGTTCTACCGTGCATTTTTGCTGAGGAGTGATACTTTGTTTTTCTGGGTTCTGTTATTATGGAAAGAACAAAATAACCAAACAATCTTGTGCATGTTTATTTGGAAGTTAGCCTCACAGTGTTTAGTGGAGCTTACTCCCAAGTAAAGGAACATAGGATTGCTCCGTATGTAATCAAGAATTTTCCTGCTGTTTAGGCTTTTCAGTAAAAGGAAAACAAAATCCATTAAAAAAAATCTTTATTCTGTATCCCAAAATAACGTACAACACCCTTTGGCAATATATTAAGCTTCATTAAATGGCTACTTTTCTGAGGGTATCAGTTTTGAACTGTTCAGTTTTATTACTGGCACAGTAGCCAATATGTATGCGTTCACAGATACACACAACACATCTACACACATACACAGAGAGCTTTCATATTTTTTTCTTTTTTAAAAGTTCTTTTAAACATGAAAGATTGTTCAGTAATTGTTTCACATATCGCCTGTGCTTTTGTTTTCTTTTTTCCTATTCCATTTTTATTTCTAATACCTGTTATGTTTAATTGATGTTAGTCACATCACGTGCAAAAGATATGGCTGTTCTTTTTGAGAAATTGTGTGATCCTTTGTTTCACCCTTTAATATATTTAATATATGTTTATATGGCTAGGTTTATTAAGCTTCATAAGAAATTTTCAGCTGTTAAGTGTTGTTGTTTGTTCGTATTCTTTTTAAGTTTTTTTCTTAATTTGCATTTTATTTTATTTTCATTCTTTGCTTGAACCCAAGTACTCTTAGCTGCTAGGTTAGAACTCCTGTCTGCTTTCCTGAGCCTTGTTGCTAGTCTTTATGTTATTCTGGTTTGTTCCTTCTTACCCTGCTAACTTCTAGCTGGACTCAAGGGTAAGTGCTTCCCTATAGCTAGCACAGCTCAGATAATCAAAATAGATTATCTGACATATGCAATGTGCTTTTTTCCCCTCCTATTAAATCTTTCTCATGTTTAGACTTTGTAGTTAAAAAAAAAAATCCATATTATTTTCCTGAATTTAGGTTTGAAATGTAAGTTTCCATACTGAAATTAGGATGCATGTGATGTTTGCATAATTGCCTTCTCTCCCTGGCGTTCATATTGGCATCAACTGATCCTCTTAGTAAAAGCCAACCATTAACATTTCCTTTTTTTTTCCATCCCAAGGTTGTAAATATGAATTAACATCACAATGAGACCGTAACTATTACCTTTCTTTTGTTTTCCGTGGAAATAATATCTAGTTGACTGCTTTAATGCCTGACAACGGATCATTCTGCACTTTGCCAATCTACCATTCTTTTGTTTCTGTTTTTTCCCGTTCCAATGATTAGCATGGTGTAGTGCACCAACAGAATGGTGTCAGCCCTGGACACTTCAAAGAATAGAAAGGTAGGGTAGTAAGCTTGATGAGAGAAGGTGCAGTATGTTAAAGGTGGAAAATTAACAAGAACAATAATAAGCATTTCCCTGGGGGGGTGGGGTGCAAGAATGAATCCTTATTGGTTAGCGACTGCCAGCTGTTTCCAAAAGCCAAAATGGGTTTTAGGGTGGTGATAATTTTGATAGTTATTTGTGTTTTCTTAATATTTGTGTCTTTACATATAGACCTCAGGATAGCAGAAAATAGCTTAGATACAATAGGGTTTCTTCCTTTATCCCATTCTCACCTTCTCCTCTCTCCCACAATCTCAACCACCACCACCACGGCCACAGAATCCATTAAAAATGAATGCTCTAGCATGCAATCTCAGATTAAACTCTTTTATAGCAGAACAAAACTTTTAAAAAGTAAGACATCTATGGTCTTTACAACCAATTTTTTTGTTTATTTTCCCCTGATAATCAGAACTGACTTTTAAAAGAAAGACAAGCTAAATGTTTTCTAATAAAATAGATTTTTCCCCGCCATGTTTAATTCTTAAACAAGATGCTGTACTAATCCTTTATTCATGTCCAAAAAGCTGTTCCTCAAACAAATGGTGAGTGCACCTTTACTTAAGAGGGAATTGAAACGATTACTGGTCACGAGAGCTGGCAAATATGTATCTGGAGTATTCTGAATGCAATAATGAGATGGAGCAGGTTTTTTCATCCCTCCTGACCATGTGACGATACTCCTGTATCCTTCCTTCCTTCTTTCCTTTCTTTTTTTTTCTCCCCCCCCCCCATAAGCATATTGTGGATACCAGGCAGAATTTCTTCACCACTTCTAGCAATTACTTTATTTTATTATTTTCTTCTTTAATTCAATTTTTTTTCCTTTCAAGGTTCTTTTTTTCTTTTAAAATCGATGGGGAACTCTGAAGGGGATCCGATTTGCAATAGAACAGAGTTTTTAGCAGAAAATCTGTATGTTGCCTCTTTTTTTAAAAAAAAAGAAAAAGAAAGACTGAACGAATTCTGGTCTGACAGCATTATACGTCTCTCGCATTAGAATGCATTCCTATTCTCTTAGTTGTTTTATTTTCAACAATGTGTGTGCTTTTAGTTGCTTCGGTCTATATTTATCTCATGACAACACTGCTATGTTTTCTTGTATTGTCAACTTGCAGAGGCTACATTACAGGAATGCAGTATTAAAATACAAATTCAGTTTTCACATATTTTTGAAATCTAAATATACTGTAAAACATTGTTTTGGCCTTTTAACAGCAATGCAAAAAAAGTCTCCCTCTAATTAGTTAATTCAAAATATTTAAAAATGTGGTAAGTGGCACATTTTTATGTTTCTAAAATGTATTTATTGGATGGACCGCTTCGTCTATTAGATACCATGAAAGCATTGCCTGCTAATAGTATTCTCTTTTTAATTTAAATGGTTTAAGGTCCAGTGCGGTATCAAAGAGAAACCATTAAAACAAAGTAAAAGGAATATGTTTGTTTCTGCTATAGGTACTAAAACGCTACAACACATAGTTAGTTTTATTAAAATAAACCAAAGTAATGCTGATAAAGGGGTGAGTGTTGTTATGGACACCATACTCCTACGTATTCAGGTTGGTTTTAAATCAGAGACAAGAATATAGTACACAGTAAAACAGCAAGAAAGACAGTGTCACTCTTATAATTAGACTTTATATACCGAACACCAAGATCATCAAAGAAGCCATGGTTTGATTTATGTTTCTGAGAGTGGTTTTCCCTCCACCTCTTGAAAATCTGAAACATACTTTTGCAGTGATGCTTACACTGCATGTACTTACTCAATTTAACAGTACAATCCTACACATGTCTACTCAGAAGTAAGTCCCACTGAGTCCACTCCCAGACAAGTGGATATAGGATTGCACCTAAACCCATAAGACTTTGAAAAAAATACAGCACTTCTTCAATGCACTCAACTGTATGTATAACGGTGCTTTTTATAGCCTCCAGTCACTTTTGCCCTTTTATCCACTATTGTGGAGAACTAAAGAACAGTTAAGAACAGTGGAAAAACTTAGCATGTTAGTCTGACTATGCTAATAAAGAATCTTCTAGAAATATCTATATCTGAGTAGCTGCCATCAATCATTGTCATTCCTTTATTTTATGTCTACTGATGAGGTTGACTAGTGTCATTGTTTGTTACTGTCCAAACCATAACTTCATTCTTGTAACATCAAGCAGATATGACAAGCATACATTTTCCAGATGAATAAAATACAAAGTCACCTTTTAATTTACAATTGGATGGCGATGGTGGTGGTTAGAGTTTAGGGGTTTTTTTTACTTTTATTTTTTTAAATAAACAAATCTGTTCTAAAAAATGTACTCAGATGCTCATTTGCCTTCCAAGCTAAAGCAAAATTATTTTCCTTGTGAAATAAACAAAACAAGGTTTTAGATCAAGTGAACATGTGTAGCCTTCTGTAATAGGAATCTTTTATGTTCAGTTACGAGACTCCTTCGGAATGTGAAGTGGAGAAAAAAAAATAAGAAGAGAAATAGGAAGAGAAAGATATTAGACATTTTTGTCTGCCTTGGTCCATAGACACCAAAAATAAATAAATAAATAAATGAAATTGTGCCCTTTCCACCAAACCAAAAGTGGGAAAGTGTAAACTTAGGTCTTTTGTTTTTCAGTAAACAATCTTCCTGATACAAACCTGACTTTTCACAAAGGCTTATATGAGGTTTATGGTGTTATCTCTTAAATAATTGTTGTTGTTGTTTAGTCGTTAAGTCGGGTCCGACTTTTTGTGACCCCATGGAACAGAGCACGCCAGGCCCTCCTGTCTTCCACTGCCTCCCAGAGTTTGGTCAAATTCATGTTGGTAGATTAAATAATAAAATTAGAAAGATTAAATAATACCGTGTTACACAAAAGCATGCTTTGTACTTGGTGACTCTGTTGGTTCAAGGTTAGAATTGTCCAGTGAACCTCTCAGGTCACGTTCCTTCCAACCCTACTTATGCTATGAACCATTTGCAATGCAAAGGCGATACTCAGTGGCAGAGGAAATATGTAGGAATTCTGATCTCTCTTTTTAGTGGTAACCACATTTACCTAATCAGATATTCTTCTGGAGGGTCTCAGTTTGCATTTTGAATGGATTTTAAATGAGCCAAGCAGAAACCCATTGTAAAGGAGCTGTATATATCTGTAAAAGTGTATATTGTGATTGATATTTATGATCAATCATGTTTCAAGAGTTTAGAAACACCCAAGTATTTTGTGACCAATGACAATCTAAAATGTCTGATATTTATCTTTATATATTTATTATGGCATGAAAACCTACCTAGTTCTGTTAATTGGTTAAAATATTTTTCAGACTATAGAGAATATTTATATTGTAGCATAATTGGCAGAAATTTCACTGAAACCATTATCTCCATATGTAATTTAAATTAGAACAGGAGGGAAGGTAACAAGGGACAGTAGGTTTAGATACCATGCTTTGCTTTTCCTAGAGAGAAAATGTTTTAGTGAAAGTGCATGTTTCTGCCCTAGCCAAATCAACACTTGCTAAAAATGGAAGCCAGTCAAAAACCATAAAACAGCTTGCTGGTGCATTTATTTTATAGCGTTGGGTGAGAAAAATTAGCATTGCCAATCAATGTATGCTACTAATTAATATTTTAGCCTCCAACATAGACGCTAGGTATTCCGAAGAGTTGCATTCTGAATGTTTGGGTGTCTAGTCTGCAGCACAATTACTTCTCAAACCCATCTCCTGTTCAAAATTATGTTCAGTTTTTATGCCACACTACCATTTGCTTGTCCTCTTGTCCCCATTGGTTTATATTACAATCTAAAAGGACAATTCTTAACATTGTCCTTAAAAACTGCTCTCTTACCTATAGCTAACAGGCATTGAATGCTATTTGATTTAAAGTTTAAGGCTAAAGCCTCAGATTAAGTTCTATAGTCTGTGTGTCTTCTGTGTCTGGTTTTCTAGAGGATGGTATTCTAACCACGAACCCACTAAATTGTTCTTTTCTGGAAGGTACCACAGTATCTCAAAGCACTTAGCATGATTCACATGCATCTTTTCTGAAGGTCATTGTTAAGCAGGGACATAGGTGCAGCTGGTTAACTTTCCCAATAAGCTGAAGAAGAAAACATATGAGACCAGGCTTATTTCACTTCTGCATGGATTCGCCATGTAGGCCTCCTGTGATATAAGTATTTGCGAAAATTTGCTCTCCCTCAATAAATGAATTCACAATGGTTATGTATGCAGGCTCCATATGGAAGCGGTGCCTACTTAATTGCAGATATACATGAACACAAGCCTTCCCTAAGCCTGGTGGTGGTCCTGTATACTGCTGAGATGCTAGCATGGGACTGATCAGCATATGTAAAACATGGGTGACTTAGAGCAGTAGTCCCCAACCTTGGGCCCCCAGATGTTCTTGGGCTTCAACTCCCAGAAATCCTGGCCAGCAGAGGTGGTGATGAAGGCTTCTGGGAGTTGTAGTCCAAGAACATCTGGAGGCCCAAGGTTGGGGACCACTGACTTAGAGAATTCTAAAACCTGGGAGCTAGATAGGAAACCTTATGGGAGTCCCAGTGCATTCCACAAACCTGCACTGTAGTTGTAGAAACACTGCCCCATCACATAGTGAAATTACCTTCCCCCCCCACATCGTGGTACTGTAGTCCCATTAAGATGAATATCAGTTTAACAATATATTTTGTGAATGAATCTGATGTGTAGAACTGGCTCATGTAGTCAGGAACATGCCACTAAGCCTGGGACGGGGTAGCTTCTGACAAGTGATTCCAAGACAACTTCACATCCGAGTTCAATGGGTTCAAGGCAGCAGGAGGAACATAGAAGTACAGAGAACATAGAGAATCAGAGTTTGTCTAGATGGCCACACATTGTATTGGGATTTTGAAAAGAAATCATATCACTCTCTAGATTGAAAGGGGACAGGATGTCTACTCCTAGAGGAGAGATTCTACACATTATTAACTAGGCACCAGGAAGAGGATTTCTGTCTACATGAAGAAAATCAATTTGGTGGCTAGTATTTTATGTCACTGAGTCCCTATAAAATATGGGAAAGCAATCAGTCATTCAGATTCCCCCACAGCATGCCAATGTGGCAGTGAAAGCCAAAATTGCTAGTTGTGCCTCGACATATTATGTCTTGCTGCCTCCTTCTGCTGGCTCTTCTCCGTAGAGGTTGGAACCAATGATTCCAGAGCAACTAAGTTGTTTCTGGCTGCTCATTCTCAGTGCAGCTGTTCAGGACTGGTCTAAATCCACACAGACATCAGATGCCTCATTCTTTATCTTTGCATAAAGCATAAGATTCCTCAGAGATTTGTGTTATATATTGATCCTAAACAAAGCTCCGATCATGTGTTTCCACCCACACTCAAAGTCAAAGCTGCCACTTCAACTAAGACCTGATGATAGCTGATATAAGCTGTTTTCATTTTAAAAATAGGACTGTTCATTAATGTTAATAACCACAGAAGAATCTAAACAATTAAGATGGAAGCAGAGTTCAAGAACATGATCCTTATGAAGTTTGAATTCTACCCACTTGTAGAGCATGAGGGTCCCTTTTAACTCTAGTCAGTTTACTCTGGCTCCATTTTTAGAACATTCGGACTGACAAGAAACCATGGTTCATAACTGAAAAAATATATATCTTGAAATATTTCAGCAGAACCGACAAATGAAGGACTTCAACCAATATGTGAACTTGCAATCTATTGCAGAAAATTTGACACAAAAATTGATTGTTTAAATCCTGAAACAAACTAGACATAACCTGTTGAAACTGCAAAGTTATTCAGTTTTTTGATATGCTATAAAACCTGAAATTAGCTGAAAACAGATGAATGGGGAGATTCTTTGCTGATGCATTAATCAAATCAATTAATGCCCATGGACTATCACCTGTCAAAGCAAATAGAAACCTTCTGATCAGTGGTTCAGAGTATGTTTCAGATTATAACCCTAGGTTAGGCTGCTCTGTGCTAGAGATCTTGTGCATGAAGAGAAATGGCTGCGCAGCCTGAACCACAATTGTGTTAAACCAGGTTATTATGACTGAAAACTGTTTCATTTTGTGAGGATCAGCAGGAACTAGATATGCTTCTATCCAAGATATATGGCCTGATTCACAAGTGGATAATATGAGTCTCTGAACTGAGCTGTTGGCAGTATCCATCCAAGTAAAACTGAATCAATAATGCTAAGTCTTAAGACTACATTATGCATGCAAAGCTAGGAAGTTAGACCTAAGTTGTTTTTTAAATGTGAGAAAGTAGATATTGAACAATGTTTAAAATATGCTCATATTGAACAAAATATGTTAAATGGTACCATAAAATAACGGAAGGCATGAGCTGTTGTCGGACTGCGTTTATGTGCATGCTTACTTCAGAGTAAATTCCCCTGACTTTGTGGAGCCTTCTCAAATATATATATATATATATATAGGATCAGTCTGCAAGTTTTATTTCAAAATATATAGAATCAAGACACTGCATACATCATTTGCCCATTTTTTTTCCTTGCAATTCATGTTTTACTTTGCATGTAGAAGAAAACCAGCATCTTTTAAGTTAATAATAATGTAATACAAAGTTGCTTCTCGTTTTTTGGTCTTCTTTTTAAAAGGCTCTTTTAAGTCCTGAATGTATGATCAAGGCATTGACAAAGCTGTTTGTACCGTGCTTCCTAATTCAGAAAGCTTTAAGAGAAATCCCTGCTTCTGTTGCTATTTTTCAAAGACAGACTTATTTTGTGTGTGCTTTTGAAGTAAAAATCATCCTCAAGAAACTCTAGGTCATTTTATGTGCCCTTCAGCTTTGGTAATTCTCTTAAGACCCTAGGAAGCTGTAAACAAGGTGGGAATTAAATCCTGCCTTTAGTGCTTTATTTGTTAAGGATTTGGGCAAGGCCTCATGTAAAAGAAAAATGAGTCAATGGGGAAAAAACAATTTGAGAGGAAAGTGTATTTTAATTCAGGCTTTCTGAACAAAACATCTGTATCAAGATTGCCTTTTGTAGCCAAGCCCCACACAATGTTAGCTTCCTGCAACATAGGTGCATTTTTAATTAATTCATTTGGATAGTAATTAGTTTACCCTCCAGAACATTATGCCAAATGAAACAAGTGAACATCCTGAAGATTTTAAGATTGCAATGCTAGTCCATTTTGTTTGAAGTAAATCTCATAGAATGAGATGAGACTTACTTCTGAGTAGGCATGAATCAGAATAGAATGAGCAGGTTCAGGCTGCTTCTTGAATCAGTTCTTCAGAAAAGAAACAATCTAGTCATCTGTTGGAAATGTTAGTAGTATCCATAAATGATACCAAATGTGTAGTTTTGCCTATGTTTAATTTCCCCTCCAGTGTTTAGAGGGTCATTCTTATTTTTCTGGTTTCAGGAACTATTTAAAATCTTCAGTAAACAAACAAGATGACAAAACAATCTATGCCCCTAACTACAGGTTGAACAGAAAAGTACTGTAGATGCTTTGGGGATCCAAAAGAATCTCAAAGGATTCATGTTTAGTCAAACTTAGTAAATTTAAGGCAATACATATTTCCTTAGAATGACAGAATCTATTCATCAGTAATTCTTTAGAAGCAAATAAATAGGGACATGATTATTAGCTTGACAAGATGCTAATAATCCTTTTCAAGTTAGTTGCTTTAGGTTGTCCGTTTGTTTTAATAAGAGGAAAAGTTACTGGGCCTCTTTTTGTTGTTTTGTAACAACAGAAAAAAAAGACTTCCTAAGAAGCAGAAGAGAAGATGCTGATTCTACTACCTTTGGCCTAGAGTCAAAAAGCTAATCAATAAGTGTTGCAAGTTGACAATGGAAGCTAAGGAATATACTTGGAAGCTTATGAGCCTAAAATGCAGCTAAATGCTAGGAAGCAGCTTAGTTCTCAGTGCTTCACAGTGTGTATTTGATGTAACTAATGCAATGCAATGTGTTTCTCTAAATTGTTTCTTTCTTTATATGTATAAATGAACAGATGCAGATAGAGCTCAAAAGCATGGCATGGATGAATTTATCTCTTCCAATCCCTGTAACTTTGACCACGCTGCACTCTTTGAGATGCTTCAGCGCCTCACTTTGGACCACAGACTTAATGATTCCTATTCTTGTCTGGCAAGTATATTCTTTAGTCTATGCAATATAAATGCTGGGCAGCAATGTCTGATCTGGTGAAAGTGTGTCCTTTGCCACTGCAATGAGTAAAAGCAGTGCTTGCTTACTCCATGTCTGAATTTGACCCCGAGAGATCTTATGTTTCAGAAGCATCCTGTGTTGTCTTTCTTAACAATCAGTTCCATACAGCATAGGCATTCTTGATTCCAATTTATATATTGCTCACTTTCAAAGTATATGAAGTAAGAAACAGGAATGACATTCATATTCTAGTGTCTGTCATATCCTTTCATGATATCCTGTCCAGCAATGTCATTTGATTGTACCATTAATAAATGTGGTCATTAGATTTGTGTGTTAGGAACCATCCTACAGATCTTTTATGTTTCTGCTTAGTAAATGTGAATATATCAAAGGTTAAATTCAATCCTGCAGATGTGATTCATTTAATAAGTCTTCACTTGATTGTTTAGTTAGACTGTCATAACACTGCATGTGCTTTGTGTGCAATGCATATAGCACTAGATTCAGAGTTATATTTTGCTATTTCTAGTCACGGCAGAATTATGGATTTGGCACAGTGCATTAGAATTTTATTTAACTGTATTGAATTATTTTTCTAAAAATTCATAGCACTCTCTAAATACTTTGGCAGAGTTGAAAACCACTATATAAATTATTATCTTTAAAATGTTAATCATGTGTGATATTAAAGCTGCAATCCTAAACACAGTTTTGTCGAGCTTACCCTGCTGAGTACAGTGTGATTTTCCTCTGAGTAAACACCCATAGAATTGCATTGTTAGAGTGCAAGCTAATTCATAGTTACTTTTAGTAAATTCTGTATTCTGTGTAACACTATTAAGTTCAGAGCCAAATTTTCCCGAACTCCACTGACATATGTAGGTGGTTTTTTCCTCCAGTATTATCCATGGGATTGGGAAATTACCTTTTTATTGTGCTGTTTCCTGATTAAGATCTCTTTCTGCAAAGTTTCAGTTTGCCACATAGAACAGGACATGCAGTTTCATGTGGGATTACCATGAAAGAGGGCACAAAGAGGGTAGCAATGTTTGATTGGAAAAATTTAAAGGATAGTGGGTAGAAAGCTTTAGCACTAATGTTATCCTTCCTCCTTTGGTTTAAGATTGATCTGCCTATTGGAAAGTAAGCACAAGTGATTTCCTGCCACTCATCTTTACATCTTGCATGTTCGATCTGAGATTTTTCATTTATGTTAAAAGTTATTATGTGCTGTCAATTCACTTCCAAAATGTGACAAGCCCATGTCTTGATGACCTCCAAAAGATCCTACCAACAACAGTCCTGCTTTGATTTTTTTCAATTAAAACCTATCATTTCTTTTGTTGAAATCTTCCTCTTCCTCTAGAATCCAATGTATATTTGCAATATGACCTGTAACTGCCTCTTTTATCTCTCTCTGAGTCCTGCTTGAATATATGGCATTTCTTACTCCATATATATTATTGAAACATCTTGAGCATCATTTGCTTGGAATAAGAAATTAATCTAATAGCTATATAGCTACTGTACACTTGACATCTCTTTTTTTTAAAACCACAAAATTTTTGTTGAAAATTTCTAGTCTGTGGGCCATTGTTTTCTTTTCCAATCTGCATATTCCTGTTAGGATTTTGATAAATACAGTCTCTGTGGCTGTGTAGCTTAAAGCAGATATGTGATATCCCATCTACTACTGGTGACTATAGCTGCGTAGTAATACAGCTGTGTTATTGTGCAGCAGAGCAAGCCAACAAGGTAATTTTAAAACTTGAGGCAACCAAAAGAAAAAAAATATAAGTTTTAAACTAGCCTTCAGAGAAGCACCAAAACTGGCACACCTTTAGTAGACAGTATGCTCCTTCACAGTGCCAAATTTGGGGATGATTGGGCAAAGAGATTTCAAGTTATTATTTTTTCAAATTAAAACTTTACCTGTGTAGATACCAGTAACCTGGAACATTCCCTGATTTAAAATAGCTCATGCAAATTGCTTAGCTCACTTATCTTGAAAGAGAATGGTTGGCCTCACCCACGTTTTTATTTGGAAAGAATCCAGGCTGCAGGAGCTGAAATATTGATCCTCAAAAAAGGCATTTCAAAAGGTAAAAACAACCATTTTGTTAGAAGACTGAGCATGTATGGAACAGGCTTAGTAGCAAAAGCATTCCAAAGTAGACACATTGTTGCAGCTTTGTAGGCTAGAAAGGGAGTTGTTTGGAGAGCAATGAAAGGTTACAGAAATAGTTAAAATACAAGTTTTATTTGAAGGGTCAAAAAACAACAGCAATCAGGCTTGCTTTAAAGAAAGCAATGGAGTGACAGTCCTCCAAAAGGTACATTTTGCCATGTATCTTCAGGAAATTAGCATACAATTTTGTAAGGCACATTTAAAGCATTTGTACATTACAAAAGCATAGAGCAGTTGTATGCTTTTGTATGTGTGTGCCCTGAATGCTTTCAGAGAACATTGTCTCAGGATTTCTGAGACCAGGTTCATGACACAAGTCTTCAAAGGCAAAATAAGTTCCAGGGCTAAGGTAATCTGACATCTTGAAATTGTCAACCAGGACTCAATTAGCTGATTCTCAGGAGGAAAACTTTCCTGGCCAACAAGGCAATAGTGCTGGGGAAAGGATTCTGTTGCAAAAAATATTTTTAAAGATACTTTAAAAAAGACTAGAGAGCAAATGTTTTAACTGAAATTACTGTTTGGTCCCTATATTCTATCATAGTTTCAACCATTCCATCCGTTTTGTCATTATACAATTGCCTAGTAATTAAGAAAAAAAATCAAAGATGTTATGCACCATCAAGTAACTTCTGATGTGTTGTGAGTGGTGACTATAGCACTCATCAATTAATGACCTCCAGAATGCCCTATCATTAACAGCTCTGCTCAGATCTTGCAAACCAACAGCATCTCACAGCCACATCCAAACTGTTCTGTCCTCTCCCAACAACCATAAGACTGAGCATGTGTTCATCTTCAGGGATCCTCTAGTGCTGGTTAATTCTACATCAGGGAAGTTTCTGTTGGAATTTATGTGTAGTGTTTGTATACATAATCTTCCACTTTAAAAAGCCAGGAATTTAAATCTTTTTTAAAAATGTTTTATAAATGTAGGATATTGTGCTTCTGTATCCATGATTCAAAATGCCAGGAAATTTTCTGATATTGCTGCATGATATCATGCCTTTGTTGCCAGTAGGAAAAAGGATACCAAGCTTTGCATAGCAGAGGGCAGCCTGAATGCTGAGAACACCAATGGCAACAGTCAGGATAGTCTACAGGATATCCTCTTGTGCTCACTATCGTTCATACTTTTGGAAAAAGTATCCCTGACAATTGATTTGTGTTTGGATGAGAAGTGGTTAATTGACAAAAAAAGGAGACAGCTTCTGGAATTTTTTTTTCCTTGATTGGTGTCCCTTTGTGAATGGTAAGTGAGCAGAAGGTGGCTCATCAACAACCTTGATCTTTAAGACAGAATAAATCAGATCTATATGATGGATTCCTACAGAACTTGTGAAGAATTAAGTGCATTGTTAAGTCTACAGAACTTCATCTCTGCTTATACAGTTTCATGCCAATAGGCTGCTAAATCTAGCATGTTCTATAGATTCTTCATTATAAACTCCAACCCATGTTCTACCTTGAAATATATGAACTGAGTAGTTGTTCTGTTCCTCTTCCCTGCAGGAAGAGAGTCATTCTTATACAATGGTGCCTCACCTAACGATTTTAATGGGTTCCAACAAATCGGATCGCTATGGGAAAACATCGCTAAGCGAAATGCGTTTTCCCATAGAGATGCATTGAAAACCGGATAATCCGTTCCAATGGGAACGGATTGCCATCCTTAAGCGAAAATCGCCATAGGAAACATCGCTAAGTGAAACGCGGTTCCCCCATTGGAATGCATTGAAACCTTTTCAATGCATTTCAATGGGGGAGGAAAAAAATCACCAAACATTCAAAAAGACTCAGAACGAAGCCATATTTGGTTAACAAAGGGTTTATTAAGTGCACTAACGATTTCAAGCACTCTAAACTCTTTTTAAACAATTTAACACCTTTTAAAAATAGCGAAAATGGAGCTGTCAAAAACATCGCTAAGCAAAACAGGGGACCTAAACTGTCATCGCTAAGCGAAGCAAGGTCCCAAACATCGCTATGCGAAATTCCCCCATTGGAAACATCACTAAACAGAGTGCAAGATCGCTCCAAAAACCTCATCGCTAAGCGAATAAATCATTAAACGAGGCAATCGCTAAGCGAGGCACCACTGTACACAATTATCCATGAGTGGGAAAAGGATGTACAGCATACTATCTAGCTATCCAGTGAGAGAAACAGGCACTTGCTACTCAGTGTTTCCCAACTTGTTGCATGCTGTCAAGTTGTTTCTGACTTATGGTGACCCCATGAATGAGTGATCTCCAAAATGTCCTGTCCTGAACAGCCCTTCTGGCTGGATGATTCTGGTAGCTGTAGTCCAAATAAATAAATAAATAAATAAATGGGGTTTCCAAACTCTGTTTCATACAGTAGTTAATAGATATAAGTATTTAACAGCAGGTAAAGGAGTGGTGCATGTGCATGTAACATATACTCGTAGTCATACATGCAAACATGCTTTTCATTGAAAAGTAGATGTGCCCACTCATTCATGTGAAATATACTTGGTGAAACTAGATGTCTACAATGCCTGGCTGCTTTTCTTGTTGTGGCTTCAGCTGACTTTTATTTTCTATTTTCTATTTTTCTATTTATATATGCATTCTATTTATATACTTATATGTATAGTTTATAATGTAATAATTTTGTGTTGTCACATCCATTCTGACTTACGGCGACTCTTTTCAGAGTTTTCTAGGTAGCGAGCACTCAGAAGTGGTTTAACATCCCCTCCTTCAGGGGACATACTGGGACTGTGCAGCTTTCCCAAGGAGACATAGGCTGGCTTTATTCACTG